GGGAATGGCTGTCTCTTATGCAATTACCAAGTTTGAAGTGCTGCCAGAAAAGAATGGCTGAACAATGTTTAGAGATGATGTCTCTGATGCTTTTGGTGAGAGGTGCTATGGCGTTGGGGATCTTCAAAAGATAGAGTTGAGTTGCCATCAACCTTACTTTGGACCAGGGTTGAAATGCTCCTGGTTCAGACCGGTTCAGCTGAACCGGTAGCGATGGCGGCCGGTGGTTCAGAGAACCGGTAGCGATGGCAGTTCGAGGCTCCACCCATCCGCCCGGTCGTCGTTACTTCCTGGTTTTAACCAGAAAGTAACCTGTTTTTTACCCTATGCGCATGCACAGAAGGGTTTGCGCATGAGCAGAGGGTCCAAGCGTGCACTTTCAAACCAGTTGGGAAGGTAAGTAGATTTTACCCCTGCTTTGGACATCTAATCCATTTCAATATTTACATGATCATCTAGTCCATTTTTATACATAGATGTACAGAATCTTGAGACTGCAATTTACACAAGACTGAGAAGATTAAAAATTGGAGAGAAAAACTTGATACTTGAAAAATGAAGCATCAAGCAGAGTAAAAATTGTAAGCATGATATTACAGATTAACAGAGTTGGAAGGGACCTTGTAGGTCATCTAGTCCAACCCCCCACCCAAGCAGGAGACCCTACACTATTTCTGACACATGACAGTCCAGTCTCTTCTTGAAAGCTTCCAGTAATGAAACTCCCATAACTTCTGAAGGCAAGCTGTTCCATTGGTTAATTGCTCTCACTATCAGAAAATTTCTCCTTATAACTGGTGTATAACTAGTGTGAGACAAGTTTATGATTTCCTATAGCTAAAGTCTATTTTCTGTTTATTTCTCTGCATTGTCATCAATCTCTTTTGCAAACCACCATGCTGTCTTCATTGTCTGATTGGTGATTAGATGCATCAAGTCAATATTAACACTTAATGGCCACTTACATAAAACTTGCCCAGATGATCTGTCCCAACCAAACCTGACTCTTCTACTGATATAAAGCCATCATCAATGGGTGTAGAATGCTGGTTGTCTTTTTTCCTTCCACATTTCCTCACATTCTAAACTTCTCAAGAAAGCTAGATCTTCGCAAAATAGCACCTAAAACGCAGTAATTTTAGCTTGGTCATTTGTGTCTTAAGTAAGAATTCTGAGTAAATTAGTGTGATATACAGTATCACGTTTGTTTTCTTAGCTATCCTTGGTATTTTAAGGAGTCTTCCCCAACACAGAATTCAAAGGCTTTAATATTCTTTCTATCTTACTTCTTCAAAGTCCAACTTTCACTTCTATAGAATGTCACAGGGAAAACTATTGCTTAAATGACTCTGATCTTTGTAGGTATAGAGACATCACAACAACTGAGTATTTTTTCCAAGCCCTTCATGGCCACTCCACCAAACTATACTAGTGCCTAGTATATTTTTTCCTTTACTGCTGATAGATCATCCTAAAAGTTAAAAAGTCCACCAGAAGGTCTTCATTATCAGTCCTTAGATTAGTTGCTATGTTTGCTCTCAATAGTTTGCTCTTATTTGTACAGGTAGTTGTCAACTTACCTAAACTTCATTTAGTAACTGTTCAAATTTACAACAGCACTGAAAAAAAGTGACTTATGACCATTTTTCACACTTACAAACCTTTGTAGACTCCTCATGATCATGTGATCAAAATTCAGATGCCTAGCAACTGGTTCATGCTTATGACCATTGCTTTGTCCCAAGGTCATTTGATCCCTTTTGCGACCTTCTGACAAGCAAAATCAATGGGAAAACCAGATTCACTTAACAGCCGTCTTACTAACTTAACACCTGCAGTGATTCACTTAACAACTGTGGCAAGAAAGGTTGTAAAATGGGGCAAAACTCACTTAACAAATGTCTCACTTAACAACATAAAATGTGGGCTCAATTGTGTTCGTAAATCGAGGACTACCTGTATTTAATTTTAATCCCATTTCCTACTATGCTCCTTGACTTTCAGTGTTAGAGCTTGCAGATCATTTGCATTTTCAGCTATCAGAATAATTATATCAGCATCGGACAGGTTATTCCTGTTTCTTCCTCCAATATTAAAATCACATTCTTTATATTCATCCAGCTTCCCCCTGTTTACATTCAGAATATGAATATAACAAAAAGGGAGAGAGTACACAGCCTCATCTCACCCCTTTACTGACCAAGAGCCAGTCGGTTTCCTGTCCTGGCTGTGAGTTTTGCATGAGGCAATTTGATGTTCTATGATTCCCATTTTCCTACGAACATTCCACAACGGGACATGATTAACACAATCAAAAGTCCTTCTTTAATCAATGAATATAGACTTCTTAAAGATATTATTTGGTTTTCTCAATTATTCAGCAAGCTACGATTTTTGATAATTCAATATTTTGCCTACTTTTTCTCTAAAGCACAAAATATAGTAGGTGTTTTAGTTGCCGGAGTTTTTACTTCGACACTGTTCATCAGTTTCCATTAACAATTGTATTTTAAAAGGTTACTTTATGAATCATTATCACCTTGAAAAGTTTTCATCATTTCAGCTTGTCATTTGAACCCAATTTCTATTCAAGACTAAATATATTTCTTCTGTCTGTGACTCAAAGGGCCAAGATCTGCTAAAATGTGTTAAATTAATTGAGATTCAAAACACAGTCCAAACCTTATATGCAGGATGGACCTATTTTTAACAATCAAAATGAAAAAGTTATGAAATGGTGGCTCAAAGATGATTAAAATAATATAAAGAGAAACTGAAAATGGAAAACGCACAGTACTTTTTTATTATACTGTTCTATAAACCACTGTAATTTGATCAGGCATAATCTGATTTACAATCCATCCTGTAGATATACTGCAAAATAATTGAATCAATATTTACCCTTTGCATTTTAGAATATTTACCCTGTGTGTTAGCATATTAACAGGCAGCTAGCTGTCTGTGGAGGAGAGCAGTTTAACGTCTACATTAACCTCTTTTGGGGTCCTCCATAAATTTAAAAAATGAGAAAGGACTCAAAGAAGTTTAAGAAATACTGTTCTAGAGGATAATCTAAACCAGAAAAAAAAATCATAAATCATGGTCACATGACCATGGAATGCCTTGACAGGTCATAAAGTTGACGCGCCCAACATGTGGTCATGTGACTGCAGGGCAGCACAACTCTTTATGATGGCCAGAGGTGGTTTATGGGCTCTAAATAAAGCACCTGTTCTGTGGCCATGGTAACTTCCAATGATTGTAAAACAACCAGCCATTAAGCAAGGAGAACCTGTTTATGCTTAATTTTGTTGCCATCTATTGAGCATCTGGATTTTTGCAGTGCAGATATGGTAGCCGTAGTGCTGGTGAGAAGGGTACATAAAACCCGCTGGATTTATGATCTTGTGAGCCCAGTCATTTTGTGTTCAAAAGAAATTATACCTTAGTATGTTGCATAAATACAATGTATAATAATGCTATTTGGTTTCCAATGCTTCTAACAGAAAGATGGTTCAAAGGAAACACAACACTACTAAGACTGGGGTTTGTACACTGATATCTAGTTATATAAACTTTGGGTTTATTTTTAGGGTGCTCCTGCAGCTCTGTATCAAATAAGGATTAGATAACTCAGAACAGAGCTTTAGCCTCAGGAACCTGCCTCTGATGTAAACCATCAATTTAGCCTAAAGCGGTAGGAAACTCTTGGGAAACTTTAATCACATGAGTGGATAACCATCTTTAAATTCCAGCTTATAACAAGTCACCTTCCCTGAAATCAGGATAGTTAGCTAATCAAAAAGTGAAACAACTAATAAACTTTTGTAACGCTCATCAAACTCTGAGGAAACATGTGCAAGATTGGGCTGCGTAGCTCTTCAATTCAAGTGAAATCTAGCCTCTAAGCTATGGCGTTTTATAAACATAATCAATAGTTTTTCTCCCAAGGAACGATCAATCAATTGCATGGTTTTAAATTATAAACCAACTGTATCTTTCTATAAAATTTTCCGGTTGCAACATGAAACCTGAATAAAGAATTTTCTAAGTAAAAGTGAAATATTGATCATATTTCCGGCCATAACCAGAACATGAACTTTGGGGAAAGTGTGTGTGTGTGCGTGTGCGTGTGCGTGTGTGTGGAATTCTAACAGTTGCCATACACAAATGTGTCACTCTGCTTATTTTTTTCTTCTTTCTCAGAGATTGCCTTAAAAGAGTCCTTGTAGTTTTCTTGGTAAGATTTCTAAGAAGCGGTTTGCCATTGCCTTCTTCTATCTTAAGGCTGAAAAAAAGTGCCTAGCCTGATGCCTTAACCCAGGGGTCCCCAAACTTGGCAGCTTTAAGACTTGTGGACTTCAACTCCCAGAATTCTCCAGCCAGCATAGCTGGAATTGAAGTCCACAAGTCTTAAAGCTGCCAAGTTTGAGGACCTCTGCCTTAACCACTACTCTAAACCGGCTCTCGAAAGGTCTGCTTACAAGTACATAGCGAAGAGATTCTTGCAAAATGTGCAAGGGATTCGATCCGACGCAAAGGAAGACCGAAAAGGCTCAAGAAAGGTGCCTGCTCTCAGATGTAATTCCGACAAGGTTCTGTGGTGGGATTTATCGGGGGAAGTTGAATAGGGGGCCGTAACTTAATTCCGCTCTTGCAGGTGCCTACCGGCACGCAACGATCTTCTAAAAGGTTATCTGGAGATACACCTGAAGGGTCGAACGCAGTTCATTTTAGCGGCGGGAGTTCCTTATTTATCTCATTCGCCACTTCCGTCCCTGCCAAACGTAAAACGAAATCTCAAATCGGTTGTGTTTGGCACCGCGCACCGCCCCGCTTTCGAACCCTGTACGGTGGTCCCTGGGCCCCAATATACAGGGAGTGAAGGGACAACTCGCCCGGGATAGCGGGAGTCTCCGAAGTGGCTCAGCCAGTTAGGGCTGCCCCTCCGGCTAACCAACCTTTGCGCGCAATTCGACCTGCCCGTTCTGCCCTCTTACCGGCATGGTGGAGGGAGATCGGGGCTCCTCTCGCGCAACAGGCCCCGGAGACGAGCGCTCCTAGCTTCCGATCTACGACTCCCTCGCCTCGCTAACCGAACTTCAGGAGCCCCTCCGCCACATGACGCTTTGGGGCGTCCTTTCAGGCTCTCGGGTCTCGAGTTCCAATTCAAGCCTGATTGCTCGAAGCGGCCGGACTTCCGCGTGTGACTGTTTGGCTGCGATGCGCCTCCAGACAACAGAATCGCCACCTGCCGCTGTTGCCGCAGGCGGGGAGAGAGAGAGAGAGAGACTTGCCCTAAACTTCCCGCCCTGCCAGATTTAACCAGGATATGAAAAAGTAGCCGGGCAGGGGCGGGGAGAGCCAAGCCCTTTGAGTCTTGCTAGCTAGGGGATGGGTGTGCGCTTCCCTTTGTTACTATAGCGCGAGCCTTTTCTTCCTCAAAGTGTAAATAGATCATCGTACGGGAGTTCCACCACTACCCCGCCCCAACCAGGTTAACTAGCTGAGCAAAAGATAAAAAAATCAGCCTGACTTTGGCGATGGCATCAGGAGCCACTTTTTTTGTTTTTAAACTGGATTCACATCACACGGAAAAGTGTAAAAAGGCTCAGAACCAGTTTAAGGGAGTCACTGCGGCTGCATTGGACCAAAGCACCGCCGAAAACGGAAGATGAAGAAAAGGGCTCTGCGTTGAACCTCTATACCTGCGGAAAAGTGCTCTGCACCCGGCTCGGACTGACACTCTTCTTTTCTCGTATTATTGTTGTCTAAAGAAAGGGAAATTCCCTCTAAAGCTTGGTGTCTTTTCCTCCTCCTTGCTTTGTAGGAATTCCATCAGAAAGGTTGTATATATATATATATTTTAATTTGATTTATATGCCGCCCTTCTCCGGAGACTCAGGGCGGCTTACAATGCGTTAAGCAATAGCCTTCATTCTTTTGTATATTTTATACAAAGTCAGCTTATTGCCCCCACAAACTGGGTCCTCATTTCACCTACCTTAGAAAGGATGGAAGGCTGAGTCAACCTTGAGCCTTGGAGAGATTCGAACCAGCAGAAATTGCAGGCAGCTGTGTTAATAACAGGGTGCATTAAACCACTGTACTATCAAGGCTCTTGATATTCATCTAGAATGTAGGAAGATCTCCAAACCTGGCATTGCATGGACTCCAAAATTTCTTAAATTAGTCCTGAAGTGACATGTTAGATTTGGGTTCAGTGTGTAATATGAACCCTGCTGCTGTGGTTTGTACACCATAGTGTGATTATGTACCTAATTGTTCGATAAACCATAATTAAACATAGCTTACCTCATTATGGATAATCTTTTATTAGAAGTGTGTAAGGTTCATGAATTGCAGTACAAGGTTATTATCTCCACATTATGTAATTTATTATAAGCAATTTCAGGAAGAAAGGGAACACTTAACAGGGCTTGTTTGAATTTGTTTTGGGGCATTATTTTATGTGTTTGTGTGAGTGTTTCATTTATAGTTTTATGATCCATCTTTTTTACAGGAGCTGAAGTTAGCTTCCAGGACATTCTCCAGAGGTTCTCCCCTCATTTCCCAATAATCCTATGTGATATTGAACTGAGAGACATTGCTAGAAGCTTAAACTTCAATCCAGTGGTCATCCAACATTTTACAATAATCATATTTCATTTTCATTCTTTCTATCTCATTAGATACAGTGAAATAAAATGGGAAATAATTGGTGTATAGGATACCTACATATTAGGTGAATTCATTGTACTAAATTGCTGTTTTATTGTGGTATAGTAAGTAAAGCACAATTAATAAACCACCCCACATATACACATACTTACTTCCATACACAACATATAGTGCTATGTGTGAACTAAGCCTCTGTGCTTTGCTTGGTTTCTGCTTAGTGTGATGATTATTGTTGAACAAAAATGATTAGTGTCCATGGTAGCTGCTTGAAAAGCTGACAATTCAATGAGATGTGCAATTTCATCAAGTGTTGGATAACACTGATGACTTTCAGAGTTTATAGGGATCTTTCCTAATGGTCCCATTCTGCTCCTAGTACCCTCAAGATTGATAGATTACAATTCCCATAACAAGAATAAAGATAGACACTCTTGAGTTAAACTCAATTCCTAGTCCACTAGAGGGACACAGCCATGCAGTTTTCTTGTTAACAATATGAAAGTAATTTGCTACTGTCATCTTGTAGGATGTTTTCTACTCCCCAGAACTGGAATTTTTGGGTGATTTTTATCTCTCTATTAATCTGGCCTAAACTTGCTTAGCTTTAGAGTCCCGAGGCATTAGAGATACAAGACAATTCTAATCTGTTGTACTCCTTGCACTTTTTATTGTAAGTTCCATATTAAAAAATCCTCAGCGCCTTCTTCTCAGCAGCTCATGACAAAAATGTGACACAGGCAGCAGAAACTGCTTTAAGCTGGGATATTGCAGTGGTTCTCAACCTTTTCTTCACCATGGACCCCCTTTAAATACCTTTTGTGACCATGGACATCACCAAGATTTAACTAAGATTTGAATCATAACATTTCTTCAAGCCTTCTTGAACCCTCTGTGATTACATTGCAGCCTCCCAGGGGTCTGCGGACCACAGATTGAGAACCACTAGCATATTGCAAAAGTTGATCTGTAATGAATTATTTGTTCTATATTAGTATTTTCCTTCTTTGTAATGCATTTAGGAATGCACTTGTAGTAGTATAATGACTGGTAGTACTAGTAGGATAGACATGGATTGCAAAATGAAGGTATTTTCTGGGCTAGAAAAACATATATTAGACATGAATTGGTCTCTGCTTTTCTATATCAGACATGGTAGGTAGGCACCCTTGGGTGAAGACAACTCCCATGCCTGAGCATCTGGATCTGTTATTCTTGCCTAAGAAATAAACAATTGCTTCGTTGCCTAATGCTTGATTACAATTACCCATCAATCAAACATCAAATTATACCAGAAGAGTCACACGTCCTAAGCTGTAATTTTCTTAACCGTAATTTGTATTTGTATTTGTATTTATTAAACTTCTATACTGCCCTTCTCCCGAAGGACTCGGGGCGGTGTACAGCCATAATTGAGTTTTAAAATCACAAGGCTGAGTTACAATAGCCATAAACCCTGATTTACAAGTTACAAAGGCTATATTAACAAAACATGCCAAACTAGAATCAAACACCCTGCATTATTCGGATAAAGTGGTTCAAGTGTATAAAATTCAGCCTACACAATCTGTTGGTAAGACATGATTTTATTAATCAAGGTTCACAGAACCTTAGTTTATATGAAATGGAAGGCACTTCACAAATCACCTTGTCTTATTCCCTGTTTAGTGAGGAAGTTCACTAAACCATCCCCAACAGATGGCCATCTGAACTTTTCCAGTGAGTAGGAGGTCATCAGTTTTCTCAACAGATAGTTAACAATTTAACAAGTCTTATTCTTGTGATTCTCATAACCAGCCTGAATTTAATTCAATTGTTAAATAGATCAATGTCTATTTCTAACAATCCTTCACATATTTGAAGACTATTATAATAACTTCCTAAACATATGACTTGGTTTCCAATCTTACTAGTGTTCATCTGAACTCGCTCCAGCATCTCTACAGTATATTACTTAAAAGTGCACTGTAAGATTGCAATTGTCTTTTTGCTATTGCATCACACTGCTTGCTCATGTGTAGCTGATGATGAATGATATCTCTGTGTATTTCTTATATAGTCACCAAGTGAGATGTCTCAAATCCTCTTCTTGTGAACTTGATTTTTCCTACCAAAACTTCATTATTTACTCTTAATCAACAAAATTGCATTGTTAACAAAAATAACAATATACATATTTTGACCTCAATCAAATAAACCCAATCTATTTTCCTTTCCTTTGCTTTTAATAATTTCTTTAAATCATGTCCCAGAACTTGATTTTTTTTTTCTCTTCTCAGAAGCTCCTTTAAAGATTTAACACATTTGTTTTTTAAATCCAGAATAAGAAATTTTTTCAAAGTCACTGTTCTGGTTTTGGAATATCCCTTTTAATTGTTAAGATATCAGCTGGTTGCATTAATCAAATCCACTGTAATGTTTTTTTCATATCATTCCTGTAACCTAACATTTTCAAATTAATTTTCAGATACACATTTGAGTCTCTGTCCAGTAAAAGCTGTTCTATAATCCCTTTTAAATACATTTTATAGTAGCAAACAATCTTAAGAGTAATTTCTGATTGCATTGTTCCCAAATATCCTTGACTTCTTCCAAAAGTCAAATTATTTTGTATTGTGGATCTCTTCTCCGTAATCTTTAGTTCTTTCTGGTCCCCTTTAGTATCCAACCTTTAAAGTTCCATCCTATGATTTTTTTTCCTAATCAACAGCATTTTCCCATGGGAAGGTTTCATACTTAAATTTCAAAATGATCCTGTATTTTTATAGAAATCTAAACAATCCACAGCAAGGATTCATGTAATTAATTTCAAAATCTTATATCAAACTTCTTTGACTCTTTAGATGTGGGCAAAGATGACAATCCCTCTGCTCTAACCCCACCAGGATAGCTGTGTTATAGTCTCTTCACAAGGAGCTATTGTATGGAGGACTTTGGGGCAATCCTGAATCCTTCCCATAGCCAGAGCAGAGTTCCTATGACCCCATAGGGTCTCCCGACAGTGGTTACCGACTGGATTTCGCAAGGTTTGGCGGAGTCCACAATTTTCCAGCTGCTCTCACCGAGACGTCATCCGGAAGCTCTCCACCCAGGAATATATTTTGACTGGCCTCAGAGACTTGAATTTATTTCGGGTAAGTAGATTTTTATTCTACCTTAATCAATCCTAAATTGTGTCTCCTTATGTAATTGATCATAGTTGGAAGACATCCCTCCCTCTTTTGGCAGAATAAAAGTGAGGAGTCCTTCAGATTGAGTTTAAGTATTGGTAATGTGATGGGTGTATCTATATAGGGTTAATGAGAATAATATGAACATGGTTTGCTTTTACCTTTCAAGATTTTTTTTCCCAATTTCCCACTCCAACATATTTATTATTAATCAAATTTATATAGCCACTCATCTCAGTACTTGAATTTTGGCACACAGAAGCAGCTAAAACAACAAAGCAAAACAACAATTTAAGAAACAGTTAAAAATCACGAGAGCCAGTTTTGTT